TCTTAACGATGAACTTTTGAAACCAGCCGTTAATGATTATTACGATGCCTTAAAAGAAAGTCCAATTGGTCGTGACTATTCAAAGTTTACGATAGATAGTAAAGGAATATTGCGACTGAGTGGCTCTCCGGATATTGATCTTATGAATTCTCGTACCTTAAGCCCCTAGCCTTGTCTACGATAGCCAGTAAACACGGCATCAACTTTGTTCGTAATGAATTAGGTTTTGTAGACTACTCACGAGAAAAACTTTCTGCGAATACTACTAAGGTTCTTCAGACTGTGCGTGCTGAACTCGGTACCATAGATAATTTGGAAGAAAGCTCGAAGCTGGTCTCGGACGGACTCGGAGAAATCTTGGATACCTACTACGATAATTCCACGTTACAGGTACCATCCTCGGAGTTCAGTATTAGGGAATTACGAGGTCTTGACAAGGCAATGCAAACAATGCGGGGATCATTCATCAATAATATAGCCAAGCTATCCGAACTCGACAAGCATATAGCTTATGAGAAAACAAAACTTGAACAGGCGGGTGATGAATTCAGTAGAAGCCGCATTGCTGAAAGATTGCGTAACTTAAAAGATGAAAGATCGGCCCGCCTCGAGGCTGCTTCCAGTAATAGAAAGGCACTTCGTTCACAAATCAGTCGAATTCGAGAAACTATCGATCAAGTCCTCAACGATGACACTACACTGCCCGATAAAATTAAAACATTGTTCAGAGAAGAGGGAATAACCATTGCCAGTATTTAAACTGCATTGGGATTTATTATATCGACTTTGACTCTCACGTTAACCAGTGGCAGCGGACCACCCACATCCCCTACTGATATAAAAATGGTGTAAAAGAGTGGATAAGAGAGCATTTAAAAGCATTAGGTTCAGCACTGGGAAAGCTCTCTGAGAAAGCCGCGTCTGCACTTCCCGGTATAATAGGGAGTATTGTTTCCTGGCTCTTGAATTTATTAGCTAAGACCACCACTTGGCTTAGTCAAAACTTGTGGGCACTGATCATAGCATTTGCAGGGCTGTTGTACGTATCCGCTAAAGACTATATATCCAAATCATGAGTAAACCAGCTGCGACTCCGCCTACTATAAGCGCTGTTTTTTCATCGATATGTTGTTGATTTTTAGCTGCAATATGTGGTGGCACTTGTGCGTCAGTAGATGGTTGTGAAACATGTGGTGTCTGTGGCTTGACTATTCCCGTTTCGCCTGTGTTTGTTTTCGTTATTAATTCGGTGTTAATATCTGAATTTATACCTGTTTTTTTGTTGATCAGTAGCAATAACAATTTTATTATTATAGCCTATCACTTGACCGATCTTAAGTTCCATATTACTCGGAGACATGTATAGTCCCGGTGCATAAACGAAGTCTTCTTTGGATTGAGCGTACTGTAATACATCTTGATAACGTTTTATAGAAGATGGTATGTCAACTGGTGAATTAATAGCATCCTCTACGTTTGCGATAAACTGTTTTTGCGCATCGAGTGCCGTCCCATAACCGATGATTCCCGTTCGTGTTTGCGATTGTGCACCAAGAATTGCCCATACATAAGTTCTTATTGATTCATTAACTCTTACAACACCTGGGTTAGTAAAATTATTTTCTGTTTTATCATATAGAAATTCATTCCAAGCATTTCCAGGTGGTTGCTCAACCTTTTGAACGGTGAAAGCAACACCACCCTTAAAGTTCATACGATGGTCTCTCCACTCGTTACTCGAGAGAGCAAAGCTCGGAAGAAGCCGACCTCTTTTCAGTAAATCATCGCTGACTTCTTTAACAGAGGAGTGTGCACCAGCGTACAGAATACCTAGACCATGGTTAACTCCACTCAGACGCCAATCTTTACTCGTAGAAACATTAAATTCCTGACAAATACATATTTAAGTTATGATATAGTATCTTTGTATATTTAATATGTATGTCACACTCCCGGGAATAACAAATGGTCAGTCTATTGAACTGCTTCATACTATCGATACCTCAGATGGACAACTTGAAGTCGCTCTCTGTGATGTAACATATTACCTGCGGTGGACCAATATAAGTGATGCGAGAGGTAATAAGATATTTATGGATATAGACGTGCACACTATACCTGATGGGTATTACAGCGTATGCTCACTCAATGATGAAATTTTTAAACCTTTGGGAGCTAGTCTCACACAAAATGAGTCGAATGGGATGCTGAGTTTAAGCATTGGAGAAAAGCAAGTAATTATTCATTGGAGCTTATCAGATACACTTGGATTTGTAATAGGAGTTGAATCAAAAGAAGTAGTAATACAACCCAATGAAACATGGTATGGAGTTAAATTACCCGATTTAGTTCCCTATAAAGAGTTGTGCATCCATCTTGATCAGATCAGTACAACGGTTAATATTCAACTTGAAAGTCCTTCAACTCTACTGAGAGCTATTCCAGTCAAAGATGAAAAATACAATAGCGGTAGAACTGAATCTTTCTCATCATTACAATATAAAAAATTAAAGCGTGGTATTATTTCAGACCTCAAAATTTCTGTATTAGATGTAAAACATCAACCTGTACATATAGGATACTTGAGTGTAACACTCCATATTATAAATAATGGTTGATTCATCAGGCCCTGGATCACTCAGACAATGTAATACAATGCTCTTTCCGATCTTAGAGACACAGAAGGATCCTGTAAACCCGGTACCGATGGTAAGTTATACGCTTTACACTTACAAGATAATGTATACAAGCGGAAAGAAGTTACATTCACAGGGATTCTAGGAGATTTAAGCGATGTCGACGTTAGTAGACTCAATAAAAACACTTTGTATAATCTTACTCTCAACGATGATAATAAATGGACTATGATCGAAGCAAAAATCAAGTGGCTACTGAATATTGTCATTACCCCACCATATGTGATGACGGGTAAGGCACATAATTTAACTAAGTAAATAAATAGTGGGGTCGTACTCGGGGCTTATATCCCATCAAAACGAAAAAGTGTGTTAGTCTCTCCCCTGCCAGAAAACCCAGGTCATATGTTATTTAGTCGTCCGGCATAAAAAAATGTTAGTTTAAATTTGGTTACTGAATTCAATGATATTAAAGATAACTTGAGTGCAATACCTGATCTTTCTACGCTTATTATTGAAGTCTTGTTTGGAGATGCACCGGTAGATGCCTTCGAAATATTACCAGGTCTATCAATTAAATGGCTAAAGAAACACCAACGTCAACGTTGCAGTATTATTTATATGGGAGTATCACCCGTTGCAACCCTTGAGGGGGTCCAAATTATTAAAAATGACAGCATTTCTCTTACTAAGATATTCATGCCGTATAATATACATTTAATAAGGTTGATGTATACTCTCAAAACAGTGAAGCAAGACCAATTAAAAACTATTATATGATATAATAATATACACTATGGGTTTATATCCAGCGCTCGATGAAAAGATGGATACTGTTGATGGATTTTGATTACATCAAATAAGCGACATAAAACATCGAATAGAGAAGGATAGGGAGTTGAGACTTGGATTGTATAAAAAGTATCGCAGAGCCGTGAATGCTCTCGACGGAGTTGACACCGAGCTAGTAACGGCTGGATTCGGTGTAGCCGGTGGTGGTTTATTATCAACTATAATCGCCGCACCTATCGTACTTGGCATGGAAATAGCCGCCGGAGTCTCGGGACTGGCAGGAATAGCAATAAAATTCATTTCTTGTAAGTTGCAAAAGAAAGCATTAAAACATGATAATATTCGTATACTCGCCGAAGCAAAGTTGAACAGCATTGAGGATCATATTTCAACAGCAATGGCTGATTGTAAGATATCCGAGGAGGAGTTTCGTTTAGTGATGTCAGAACTCACCAAATACAACGCAATGAAGCAGGAGATTTGATCAAATTCTCATAAAACCAGTGGTATTAGCAAGGACGAGAAAAAAAAGTTCATAGAACAGGGGAGACAACAATCGCGTCAATTATTCCGTGCCAAAACCAAATAACTCGTTGGAGATTAAAAATAGATTGCTTACTATCATTAGATCACACCGCATAAAATCATACATTTATTTAGAAGAATGCTTACATAAGTATATAATAATGGAGAATTACAAACCAACAAAGGAAGAACTCGAAAAAGCTATTGAAGCATTTATGGTCAGGGACAAAATTATCAAATGGAGAGAATTACCACAAGGTATATATTATATCAGTGATGTCAAACCAACCAAATACGGTCATCAATTGTTTCTTTCCAATTACCAAGAAGAGTATATAGTCTGGTCTCCTAGTAAAATGAACGAAGAACTTAGTAAAAATGTTGAGTATCACTTTGTTAAAAATAATGGTATACGTATGAATAAAAATAATAGAGAATATTTTCATTACAATTTAGTTTAATGTCAGGACGATCGTTAAATCGCATCAGCGTTTTGGCATAAAGAATTCCCCCTGTAGTGGTGGTATAGGTATATAAATCTGGCTCCAGTGTGGTTGCGGCAGAACCGCTATTACCTATACTACTCCAGAAAATAATTAATGTACTCCACCAGTGATACAACTTCAGAGAATTTTGATGCAATGGTCGAAGAAATCGTATCTGAAATCGGCCATGTCAATATCTACTTGTCATTATATCAATATTCAATACAGTTAGTAAACACAATTTGAAACCGAACTAAATTAAATTATTCTCATGAAACAAGTAGTGAGTGAGTGAGTATGGTTTTACGCCGCTTTTAGCAATATTCCAGCAATATCACGGCGGGGGATACCAGAAATGGGCTTCACACATTGTACCCATGTCGGGAATCGAACGCGTGACGAGTGAACGCTTTAACCACTAGGCTACCCGACCGCCCCCATGAAACAAGTACCGGTACATCATTTTAGACCAACATGTTTAATGTTTCATAATGCATTTGGTTCCCATCAGGCATATCTTTGCATCCAAGTGTTATAATCCCTGCTGCTGATGTATACTTACTGTCTGCCACATGGGCTGGTCATCCTTGAAGGTGAGGGGAATGGTGCTACCCACAATACCAGAAGAAAAATCCAACACTTGCATCCTGCGTGGTGCTGCTTTAATCGTCTTCATGCGTTTTCGTTTAGTTACTGAACGTAATCGTTTGGTGACTTCTTGCGAGTTGTCCTTGAAAATTGGTTGGATGAGAAGAACCCCCGTCTCTATCAGGACCTCGTTGAACCTACAATGAAGGCAGTGTGACAGGTGAACGGAAATACTGACAGTCAGACGTTTCTGCCTCTATACTAACAGTCAGATGTCTCTGGCTCTATACTGACAGTCAGATGTTTCTGCCTCTATACTGACAGTCAGATGTCCCTGGCTCTATACTGACAGTCAGATGTCTCTGGCTCTATACTGACAGTCAGACTTCCTTGACTCTAAACTAACAGTCAGATGTCTCTGGCTCTATACTGACAGTCAGATGTTCCTGGCTCTACACTGAAAGTCAGACTTCCTTGACTCTATACAGACAGTCAGATGTCCCTGGCTCTATACTGACAGTCAGATGTCTCTGGCTCTATACTGACAGTCAGATGTTCCTGGCTCTATACTGACAGTCAGACTTCCTTGACTCTAAACTAACAGTCAGATGTCCCTGGCTCTATACTGACAGTCAGATGTTCCTGGCTCTATACTGACAGTCAGATGTTCCTGGCTCTATACTGACAGTCAGATGTCTCTGGCTCTATACTGACAGTCAGATGTTCCTGGCTCTATACTGACAGTCAGATGTTCCTGGCTCTATACTGACAGTCAGACTTCCTTGACTCTAAACTAACAGTCAGATGTCCCTGGCTCTATACTGACAGTCAGATGTCCCTGGCTCTAAACTAACAGTCAGATGTCTCTGGCTCTATACTGACAGTCAGATGTTCCTGGCTCTACACTGAAAGTCAGACTTCCTTGACTCTATACAGACAGTCAGATGTCCCTGGCTCTATACTGACAGTCAGATGTCTCTGGCTCTATACTGACAGTCAGATGTTCCTGGCTCTATACTGACAGTCAGACTTCCTTGACTCTAAACTAACAGTCAGATGTCCCTGGCTCTATACTGACAGTCAGATGTTCCTGGCTCTATACTGACAGTCAGATGTTCCTGGCTCTATACTGACAGTCAGATGTCTCTGGCTCTATACTGACAGTCAGATGTTCCTGGCTCTATACTGACAGTCAGATGTTCCTGGCTCTATACTGACAGTCAGACTTCCTTGACTCTAAACTAACAGTCAGATGTCCCTGGCTCTATACTGACAGTCAGATGTCCCTGGCTCTAAACTAACAGTCAGATGTCTCTGGCTCTATACTGACAGTCAGATGTTCCTGGCTCTACACTGAAAGTCAGACTTCCTTGACTCTATACAGACAGTCAGATGTCCCTGGCTCTATACTGACAGTCAGATGTCTCTGGCTCTATACTGACAGTCAGACTTCCTTGACTCTAAACAGACAGTCAGATGTCCCTGGCTCTATACTGACAGTCAGATGTCTCTGGCTCTATACTGACAGTCAGACTTCCTTGACTCTAAACTAACAGTCAGATGTCTCTGGCTCTATATTGACAGTCAGATGTTCCTGGCTCTACACTGACAGTCAGATGTTCCTGGCTCTATACTGCCAGTCAGACGTTTCTGCCTCTATACTGCCAGTCAGATGTCTCTGGCTCTATACTGACAGTCAGATGTTCCTGGCTCTATACTGACAGTCAGATGTTCCTGGCTCTATACTGACAGTCAGATGTTCCTGGCTCTATACTGACAGTCAGACGTTTCTGCCTCTATACTAACAGTCAGATGTCTCTGGCTCTATACTGACAGTCAGATGTTCCTGGCTCTATACTGACAGTCAGATGTCCCTGGCTCTATACTGACAGTCAGATGTCTCTGGCTCTATACTAACAGTCAGATGTTCCTGGTTCTATACTGACAGTCAGATGTTCCTGGTTCTATACTGACAGTCAGATGTTCCTGGCTCTATGCTGACAGTCAGATGTTCCTGGCTCTATACTGACAGTCAGATGTCCCTGGCTCTATACCCACAGTCAGATGTTCCTGGCTCTATACTGAAAGTCAGACGTCTCTGGCTCTGTACTGACAGTCAAATGTTCCTGGCTCTATACAGACAGTCAGATGTCCCTGGCTCTATACTGACAGTCAGACGTCCCTGGCTCTATACTGACAGTCAGAGGTCCCTCGATCTATACCTACAGTCAGACGTCTGGCTCTGTACTGACAGTCAGACGTCTATGGCTCATACTGACAGTCAGACGTCCCTGGCTCTATACTGACAGTCAGATGTCTCTCACTCTATACTGACAGTCAGATGTCCCTGGCTCTATACTGACACAGCAGTAAGATGTCCCTGGCTCTATCATGACTCAGTCAGATGTCCCTGGCTCTATACTCACACTTGCAGAATCTGCTTGAAGATTAGCCTCCTCTCAGCCTCCAGTTTCTGCATCAGAGGATGGTGCAGGGACAGCCCAGTGTGCAGCCGATGTTGCATGTCCTCCATGTGTCCTTTGATCTCTAACCGTTGGTCATCACTAAGCTTCTCTTCCTCAAAAACTGTTGTCACGTTACCTACAACAGACTTGACTTCATTGAAAAGCAGATTGCTGCAACCTTACAAACCCTATATTACCCCACCTTACACGTACAACATTAACCCACCTTACACGTACAACATTAACCCACCTTACACATCCAACATTAACCCACCTTACACGAACAACATTAACCTACCTTACACGTACAACATATACCCCACCTTACACATCCAACATTAACCCACCTTACACGTACAACATTAACCCACCTTACACGTACAACATTAACCCACCTTACATGAACAACATTAACCCACCTTACACATCCAACATTAACCCACCTTACACGAACAACATTAACCCACCTTACACGTACAACATTAACCCACCTTACACGAACAACATTAACCCACCTTACACATCCAAAATTAACCCAGCTTACACGAACAACATAAACCCACCTTACATGTACAACATTAACCCACCTTACACGAACAACATTTACCCACCTTACACGAACAACATTAACCTACCTTACACGTACAACATTAACCCACCTTACACGTACAACATTAACCCACCTTACACGAACAACATTAACCCACCTTACACATCCAACATTAACCCACCTTACACGAACAACATTAACCCACCTTACACGTACAACATTAACCCACCTTACACGAACAACATTAACCCACCTTACACGAACAACATTAACCCACCTTACACATCCAACATTAACCCACCTTACACGAACAACATTAACCTACCTTACACAAACAACATATAGCCCACCTTACACCTACAACATTAACCGCGCCACCCTTACATTACCCCACCTTACACGTACAACATGAACCCACCTTACACCTACAACATTAACCGCGCCACCCTTACATTACCCCACCTTACACGTACAACATTAACCCACCTTACACGAATAACATCTACCCAACCTTACACGAACAACATATACACCACCTTACACTTACATTACCCCACCGTACACTTACATTACCCCACCTTACACCCACAACATTACCCACCGTACACCTACAACATTACCCCACCTTAAACCTACAATATTACCCCACCGTACACTTACATTACCCCACCTTACACCCACAACATTACCCCGCCTCAAATTGGATTGCCACTAATTAAGAATATAAACTTCGCTTGTGGTTCTCAATTATTGCATGCATGCGCTTCTAAGATCAAAGGATGTATAGTGTGAAAAGTTAACTAGTTGAACAATCGTATTTCCGGGACTTGCCGCGGATGTTTTCAAACAGATTATTAGAACTCCATTCAGCGATAAACGGTTGATTATGCAATGAGAAGCGTTATGTGCAAATGAACAACGAACAACAATACAATTATGTCTGTGTAAAACTCTCAGTAATAAAAGCGTACATAAATTTTGGGAGCCATGCGTTACCGCGCGTAGTAACCGAGGTAGCGCTTTATCGAAGAGCACAATAGCGAGGGATCACTGTACATCCAGTAAAGAGTTACCTTTATGAGGACAAGAAAATCTTTTATCAGATAGTTTCACAAGCAATAGTAAAATTGTTACATTTTTTTTCAATATATTAATCAAATATTCTTCATGTCCCTACAAAAACTGTTATTATTGCAACAGCCTATATTTTTTATGCTTACAGTCATAGGGAGGTAATTATTTGGCCAGGGTCACATGACTAAAATGTTGTGGAGGAGGGAATCATGACAGGCATGATGGAGACATTTGCCACCACACATGTAGGGTTATATCACAACAGTGATGTCATTACCACAACAGTGTTGACATTACCACAACCATGTTGTCATTACCACAACAATGTCATTACCACAACCATGTTGTCATTACCACAACAGTGTTGTCATTACCACAACAATGATGTCATTACCACAACAGTGATGTCATCACCACAACAGTGATGTCATTACAACAACAGTGATGTCATTACCACAACAGTGTTTACATTACCACAACCGTGTTATCATTACCACAACAATGTCCTTACCACAACCACGTTGTCATTACCCAAAACAGTGTTGTCATTACCACAACAATGTCCTTACCACAACCACGTTGACATTACCCAAAACAGTGTTATCATTACCACAACAATGTCCTTACCACAACCACGTTGTCATTACCCAAAACAGTGTTGTCATTACAACAACAATGATGGCATTACCACAACAGTGATGTCATTACCAAAAAAGTGATGGTATTATCACAACCACTTTGTCATTACCACAACCGTGTTGTCATTAACACAACAGTGATGTCATTACCACAAAAGTGTTGACATAACCACAACAGTGTTGTCATTACCACAACAGTGATGCCATTACCACTACAGTGTGGCCATTACTACAACAGTGTTGTCATTACCACAACCGAGTTGTCATTACCACAACACAGATAACATTACCAAAACAGTGATGACATTACCAAAACAGTGATCACATAACCACAACAGTGATGTCATTACCACAACAGTGATGTCATTACCAGAACAGTGTTGCCATTACCACAACAATGATGTCATTACCACAACAGTGATGACATTACCACAACCATGTTGTCAATACCACAACAATGTCATTACCACAACCACGTTGTCATTACCACAACAGATTTGTCATTACCACAACAATGATGTCATTACCAAAACAGGGTTGACATAACCACAACAGTGATGGCATTACCACAACAGTGATGTCATTACCACAACCAAGTTGTCATTCTCACAACACTGATGACATTACCAAAACAGTGATGACATTACCAAAACAGTGATGTCATTACCACAACAGTGTTGACATAACCACAACAGTGATGTCATTACCACTACAGTGTTGCCATAACCACAACAATGATGTCATTACCACAACCACGTTGTCATTACCACAACAGTGATGTCATTACCACTACAGTGTTGACATAACCACAACAGTGATGTCATTACCACAACAGTGTTGTCATTTCCAAAACAGTGTTGACATAACCACAACAGTGATATCATTACCACAACAGTGATGTCATTACCACTACAGTGTTGCCATTACCACAACAGTGATGCCATTACCACAACCATGTTGTCATTACCACAACCACGTTGTCATTGCCACAACAGTGTTGACATATACAAAACAGTGATGTCATTACCACAACCGTGTTGTCATTACCACAACAATGATGTCATCACCACAACCATGTTGTCATTAGCCACAACCACATTGTCATTACCACAACAGTGATGTCATTACCACAACAGTGATGTCATTACCACAACAGTGATGTCATTACCACAACAGTGATGACTTAACCAAAACAGTGGTGACATAACCACAACAGTGATGTCATTACCACAACTGTGTTGTCATTACCACAACAGTGATGTCATTACCACCACAGTGATGGCATTACCACAACAGTGATGGCATTACCAATACAGTGTTGAAATTACCACAACACTGATGACATTACCAAAACAGTGATGACATTACCAAAACAGTGATGTCATTACCACAAAAGTGTTGCCATAACAACAACAATGATGTCATTATCACAACCACTTTGTCATTACCACAACCATGTTGTCATTACCACAACAGTGATGTCATTACCACTACAGTGTTAACATAACCACAACAGTGATGTCATTAACACAACAGTGTTGTCATTACCAAAACAGTGTTGACATAACCACAACAGTGATATCATTACCACAACAGTGATGTCATTACCACTACAGTGTTGCCATTACCACAACAATGTCATTACCACAACCACGTTGTCATTACCACAACAGTGTTGACATAACCAAAACAGTGATGTCATTACCACAACCGTGTTGTCATAACCACAACAATGATGTCATCACCACAACCATGTTGTCATTAGCCACAACCACGTTGTCATTACCACAATCGTGATGTCATTACCATAACAGTGATGACTTAACCAAAAGAGTGGTGACATAACCACAACAGTGATGTCATTACCACAACAGTGATGTCATTACCACAACCGTGTTGTCATTACCACAACAGTGATGTCATTACCACAACAGTGATGGCATTACTACAACAGTGTTGACATTACCAATACAGTGTTGCAATTACTACAACAGTGTTGACATTACCAATACAGTGTTGTCATTACTACAACAGTGTTGACATTACCAATACAGTGTTGTCATTACTACAACAGTGTTGACATTACTACAACAGTGTTGACATTACCAATACAGTGTTGTCATTACTACAACAGTGTTGACATTACCAATAGCGTTGTCATTACTACAACAGTGTTGACATTACCTCTACAGTCTTGCCATTACTACAACAGTGTTGACATTACCAATACAGTGTTGTCATTACTACAACAGTGTTGACATTACAACATGTTTCTGCTTGCAGCCTCACTATTTTTCTGTACAAAAGAATGATAATGCAGCTATAGCTTCAAGTTCTTGTTTATTCTGCATCTCACTTTGGATGTTATTAGTGCAAAGAAAATGTTGCTTCAAACACATTTTTTAAATCTATTTTATATGAAAGAAACACTTTCGAAATTTGTACACCATATAATTAGTGATTTATTCACATCGTTGGGTCCTTTGATATAATCAAGCGCTGTATCAGTAAACTTTTGATAACCCGGCTGCAACTTACAGTAGAAATAATTCTGAGATTAATTCTAACAAATTTGGATTTATGGAATTAATGACATATGTTGTGGTAATAACATTTGATGTTGATTTCTTATGTTTTTCACATTTAGATTTAAATAAACATTAAGAAACATTGGTTTCAAAACAAATACAAAATATGTGTCAATATTGCCACATTTGGTTGAATCACCTAATTACAATATATAACCCATTCTTATACTTACAGCCCAAAACCTTTCAGTCTATCAGCCAGAATTTGGCTCTCAGCATCAAGTGTTAAGTGTCATATGAACTTTCATCAGTGGAGCTTACCGGACAAAACAGAATGTTACATACAAATGTGATCTACTGCAACACATAAAACTGCATCAAGGTATTCATACACTGAACCATCAGCACTCACTGACAGCGGCCTAGACTTACTCTCAGCCTCCTTCAGAGCACAGTGTGCAATGTATCGCTCAATGAGGTAACGGAACCGCTTCCGGGGAATTTCCAGTGCCTGGTGCAGCAAACTTGAAGCCATCTGCATTAAACAATATAATCAGCAACTGTCCTAGCATTTTAGCCACAGCTTTTACAACATCTCAGTGAATCTACTACCTTCTTCTCAGAATCCAAACAAAACAAACCTACACATAAATACAGAGGCATTGACTACTGCTAAAGTTATCAATTGTTGTTCTGTAATGTTCTTGTCTCACAAGCAGACAGTGAGATCTTATCTCACCGAATGTAGCTCATGTGAGATCCTGTTCTCCTCAAAGGCCGTGTGGAGGAGATTCAGGTTCCTCCTCTGGTCTGAGATGCTCATCTGGAGCTGCTGCTCTTGATCTGCTCGTCTCTGAAAGAAGGACAGTCACAGTCACAGTCACAGTCACACAAAGCTAGGTATGTGTCTAGGTTGCTTTTATCTATAAGCAGGCTCTAAAAGTTGAACTAAATATCAATATTTTAGTATTTAGTGCACCTCTTTGAATTCTGTTTTGATTGCTGTAACCACTGAGTTTTCCTTCTCCTTGACCTTCTTCTTGACAGTCTGGTCAAAGTCAGCTTGGCTGAAAACATGGCAGAGTTTGTTGATCAGATCAAGGTAGACTAGGTTTATCAAAACATTTTCTTCAAGAATGATAAAAAACCCTCTAATCCTCTCTCAAGCTCTACAAATGTGACTGGACCCACAGTAGACAAGGCTTATCATAGCTGCTCGTGTGACTTGGAGTGGTATGTAGGTAAACTGGGCTATAATTAATGAAGACACTTTGAAACAGAAAATTAAGTACCGCATATATATTGAAGTAATGCTTAAAGCACCAGCAAGCCAAGAATTCTAGGTGTGACTTACATATTATCCATGTCTCTCTGTTGTTTGTTGTACATATTCCACACTAGCTTGTAGCGATCCAGCAGGCACATGTACTTGTTCTCCTGTACAACACAACACACACATACTTGTTCACCTGTACAACACACATGTACTTGTACATTGGTACAACACACATGTACTTGTTCACCTGTACAACACACATGTACTTGTTCACCTGTACAACACACATGTACTTGTTCACCTGTACAACACACATGTACTTGTTCACCTGTACAACACACATGTACTTGTTCACTGGTACAACACACATGTACTTGTTCACCTGTGCAACACACATGTACTTGTTCACCTGTACAACACACATGTACTTGTTCACCTGTACAACACACATGTACTTGTTCACCTGTGCAACACACATGTACTTGTTCACCTGTACAACACACATGTACTTGTTCACCTGTACAACACACATGTACTTGTTCACCTGTACAACACACATGTACTTGTTCACCTGTACAACACACATGTACTTGTTCACTGGTGCAACACACACATACTTGTTCACCTGTACAACACACATGTACTTGTTCACCTGTACAACACACATGTACTTGTTCACCTGTACAACACACATGTACTTGTTCACTGGTGCAACACACATGTACTTGTTCACTGGTACAACACACATGTACTTGTTCACCTGTACAACACACATGTACTTGTTCACTGGTACAACACACATGTACTTGTTCACTGGTACAACACACATGTACTTGTTCACCTGTACAACACACATGTACTTGTTCACCTGTGCAACACACATGTACTTGTTCACCTGTACAACACACATGTACTTGTTCACCTGTACAACACACATGTACTTGTTCACCTGTACAACACACATGTACTTGTTCACCTGTACAACACACATGTACTTGTTCACCTGTACAACACACATGTACTTGTTCACTGGTACAACACACATGTACTTGTTCACCTGTGCAACACACATGTACTTGTTCACCTGTGCAACACACATGTACTTGTTCACTGGTACAACACACATGTACTTGTTCAATGGTACAACACACATGTACTTGTTCACCTGTACAACACACATGTACTTGTTCACTGGTACAACACACATGTACTTGTTCACTGGTGCAACACACATGTACTTGTTCACCTGTACAACACACATGTACTTGTTCACTGGTGCAACACACACATACTTGTTCACCTGTACAACACACATGTACTTGTTCACCTGTACAACACACATGTACTTGTTCACCTGTACAACACACATGTACTTGTTCACTGGTACAACACACATGTACTTGTTCACCTGTACAACACACATGTACTTGTTCACCTGTACAACACACATGTACTTGTTCACTGGTACAACACACATGTACTTGTTCACTGGTACAATACACATGTACTTGTTCACTGGTACAACACACATGATTGTACTTGTTCACCAGTACAACACACATGTACTTGTTCACCAGTACAACACACATGTACTTGTTCACTAGTACAACACACATGTACTTGTTCACCAGTACAACACACATATACCTGTTCACCAGTACAACACACATGTACTTGTTCACCAGTACAACACACATGTACTTGTTCACCAGTACAACACAGATGTACTTGTTCACTGGTGCAACACACATGTACTTGTTCACTGGTACAACACACATGTACTTGTTCACCTGTACAACACACATGTACTTGTTCACCTGTACAACACACATGTACTTGTTCACCTGTACAACACACATGTACTTGTTCACTGGTGCAACACACATGTACTTGTTCACCTGTACAACACACATGTACTTGTTCACCTGTACAACACACATGTACTTGTTCACTGGTACAACACACATGTACTTGTTCACTGGTGCAACACACATGTACTTGTTCACCTGTACAACACACAAGTACTTGTTCACTGGTGCAACACACACATACTTGTTCACCTGTACAACACACATGTACTTGTTCACCTGTACAACACACATGTACTTGTTCACTGGTGCAACACACATGTACTTGTTCACTGGTACAACACACATGTACTTGTTCACCTGTACAACACACATGTACTTGTTCACCTGTACAACACACATGTACTTGTTCACCTGTACAACACACATGTACTTGTTCACCTGTACAACACACATGTACTTGTTCACTGGTGCAACACACATGTGCTTGTTCACTGGTACAACACACATGTACTTGTTCATTGGTGCAACACACATGTACTTGTTCACCTGTACAACACACATGTACTTGTTCACCTGTACAACACACATGTACTTGTTCACTGGTACAACACACATGTACTTGTTCACTGGTGCAACACACATGTACTTGTTCACCTGTACAACACACATGTACTTGTTCACTGGTGCAACACACACATACTTGTTCACCTGTACAACACACATGTACTTGTTCACCTGTACAACACACATGTACTTGTTCACCTGTACAACACACATGTACTTGTTCACTGGTGCAACACACATGTACTTGTTCACTGGTACAACACACATGTACTTGTTCACCTGTACAACACACATGTACTTGTTCACCTGTACAACACACATGTACTTGTTCACCTGTACAACACACATGTACTTGTTCACCTGTACAACACACATGTACTTGTTCACTGGTGCAACACACATGTACTTGTTCACTGGTACAACACACATGTACTTGTTCACCTGTACAACACACATGTACTTGTTCACCTGTACAACACACATGTACTTGTTCACTGGTACAACACACATGTACTTGTTCACCTGTACAACACACATGTACTTGTTCACCTGTACAACACAGATGTACTTGTTCATCTGTACAACACACATGTACTTGTTCACCTGTACAACACACATGTACTTGTTCACCTGTACAACACACATGTACTTGTTCACCTGTACAACACACATGTACTTGTTCACCTGTACAACACACATGTACTTGTTCACCTGTACAACACACATGTACTTGTTCACCTGTACAACACACATGTACTTGTTCACTGGTGCAACACACATGTACTTGTTCACCTGTACAACACACATGTACTTGTTCACCTGTACAACACACATGTACTTGTTCACCTGTACAACACACATGTACTTGTTCACCTGTACAACACACATGTACTTGTTCACCTGTACAACACACATGTACTTGTTCACCTGTACAACACACATGTACTTGTTCACCTGTACAACACACATGTACTTGTTCACCTGTACAACACACATGTACTTGTTCACCTGTACAACACACATGTACTTGTTCACCTGTACAACACACATGTACTTGTTCACTGGTGCAACACACATGTACTTGTTCACCTGTACAACACACATGTACTTGTTCACCTGTACAACACACATGTACTTGTCCACTGGTGCAACACACATGTACTTGTTCACTGGTACAACACACATGTACTTGTTCACCTGTACAACACACATGTACTTGTTCACCTGTACAACACACATGTACTTGTTCACCTGTACAACACACATGTACTTGTTCACCTGTACAACACACATGTACTTGTTCACTGGTACAACACACATGTACTTGTTCACCTGTACAACACCCATGTACTTGTTCACCTGTACAACACACATGTACTTGTTCACCTGTACAACACACATGTACTTGTTCACTAGTACAACACACATGATTGTACTTGTTCACCAGTACAACACACATGTACTTGTTCACCTGTACAACACACATGTACTTGTTCACTGGTACAACACACATGTACTTGTTCACCTGTACAACACACATGTACTTGTTCACTGGTACAACACACATGTACTTGTTCACCTGTACAACACACATGTACTTGTTCACCAGTACAACACACATGTACTTGTTCACCTGTACAACACACATGTACTTGTTCACCTGTACAACACACATGTACTTGTTCACTGGTACAACACACATGTACTTGTTCACCTGTACAACACACATGTACTTGTTCACCTGTACAACACACATGTACTTGTTCACTGGTGCAACACACATGTACTTGTTCACTGGTACAACACACATGTACTTGTTCACCTGTACAACACACATGTACTTGTTCACTGGTACAACACACATGTACTTGTTCACCTGTACAACACACATGTACTTGTTCACCTGTACAACACACATGTACTTGTTCACCTGTACAACACACATGTACTTGTTCACTGGTACAACACACATGATTGTACTTGTTCACCAGTACAACACACATGTACTTGTTCACCTGTACAACACACATGTACTTGTTCACTGGTACAACACACATGTACTTGTTCACCTGTACAACACACATGTACTTGTTCACCTGTACAACACACATGTACTTGTTCACCTGTACAACACACATGTACTTGTTCACCTGTACAACACACATGTACTTGTTCACTGGTACAACACACATGATTGTACTTGTTCACCAGTACAACACACATGTACTTGTTCACCTGTACAACACACATGTACTTGTTCACCTGTACAACACACATGTACTTGTTCACCTGTACAACACACATGTACTTGTTCACCTGTACAACACACATGTACTTGTTCACTGGTACAACACACATGATTGTACTTGTTCACCAGTACAACACACATGTACTTGTTCACCAGTACAACACACATGTACTTGTTCACCTGTACAACACACATGTACTTGTTCACCTGTACAACACACATGTACTTGTTCTTTGTTACAACACACATGTACTTGTTCACCTGTACAACACACATGTACTTGTTCACCTGTACAACACACATGTACTTGTTCACCTGTACAACACACATGTACTTGTTCACCTGTACAACACACATGTACTTGTTCACTGGTACAACACACATGATTGTACTTGTTCACCAGTACAACACACATGTACTTGTTCACCTGTACAACACACATGTACTTGTTCACCTGTACAACACACATGTACTTGTTCACCTGTACAACACACATGTACTTGTTCACCTGTACAACACACATGTACTTGTTCACCTG